AGCATCTTTCTGCCCTTCCGTGATAGAGCCAGGGCTGACTTATCCCCAGTGAGCATCCACTACTTGTTTCATTTTTCAAGCTTGGTCTGGCACGATGAAGATTTGCTCAGCCTTCTCCGAGTGAATCCTCTGACTCCTGGGGTGGGTGAGAAAAGATGGAAATTGGACAACAGGTCTCCGTTGAGAGGCTCCTGCAGTCACCTTCAGAGCAGGTGAAGAGGAGCTACGGACAGCCCTTTGAAGAATGCCCCTGGGTTTGGGATTTGGTTAGAAATCTCCATAATTGTTTTAGCTTTGCCATTGAAACCAGGTGTTTTGAGCTTGGGCAGTTTCTGAGCTTTAGTTTCCCATCGATAAGTAGGAACAATACTAATATACCTGTGTTACCTTGCTCACAGGTTTGCTGTCACGCTCAAATAAGATAAGTGAAGCTATCTTGTACAACCAGTATTAGGTATTAGTGAAGAAGAGACTCTGGAGCCAAACTGCCTGAATGTAAGTCCCAGCCCTGCTCCGCACTTCTTGTGTGACCATGGGCAAGTCACTTCGCTTCTCTGTTGCCTTGGTTTCTTCACGGACAAAATAGGAGAGACACTAGCACTTTTGTCACAGTGTTGTTGATATTAAAATGAGTTACATGTCAAGCACTCAGAGCAGCACCCAGCACATAGTGAACACCGTCCTACACACAAGGAGCCGTCCTTATTACTGTTGTCAAGTGCTGTACAGAATGATTATGATGATTACTTCTTAGACACAGAAGGAAAGTCAGAGTTCTGCTGTGTCTACATAGAAAGGAGCAAACAGGAAGCATCGAGTTTTGCCTTGAACTCCAAGTCCAGGCTTTAAAAAAGAGCCATGAAAATGCCATCTACCTGATGAAGGTCTGGAGCAAGGCAGGCGCAGCCCTCGACCATCCTGTAAGATCATCATCTCCACCCTACCGATACTTATCGCTTTGGCTTGCTTCTGGGCAAAGGTCCACACTAGGCATGACTCTACTGCATCCAGAGCTTTACCACCGATGTCCCTGTACTGAGGGGCTCTGGGTGGGTGAGATGTGTTCAAAGGGACAGCTACGGATGCTACCTATTGTCACAAAAGGTAAAACCAGTAGAACCAGACAGCAGAACAGGCTGTCCTGACTGCACATGTGGGCGTCTCTGACCTTTGCAAGAAGAGTCAAGAGTCAGATTCCAGGTCAGAAAGTAAGATTACAGAACTTTGAGGTGGAATGAGATTCTTTCTTCTCCTTACTCATTCCCCAATATATTATACCATCTCACCTTCTATCAGCCTGAACTATTCCAGTGATTGAAAGAGTTCTGGGCCGGCCCTGTGGCTTGGTGGTTAAGTGCGCGCGCTGCGATGCTGGTGGCCCGGGTTCGGATCCCGGGTGCGCATCGAGGCACCACTTCTCCGTCCATCCTGAGGCCGAGTCCCACATACAGCAACTAGAAGGATGTGCAGCTATGACATAAAACTATCTACTGGGGCTTTGGGGGGAAAAATAAAATAAATAAAAAAAAAAAAAACGAAAGAGTTCTATGGGCTGTCATATGATCTCCTCTGATCCTCACACCGCCCTGTGTGGCAGGTGTTGGTATCAACATCCTCAGATGAGCAAACTGAGGCTCAGAGGCATTTGATGACTTTCCAGAGGTCACTTGGCTTAGTCACTGAAGGAACCAGGATTCTAAGTGGTGTAGCTCATCTCCCAGTCTAGAGCTCTTTCTGCTACAAAAACACCGACTCATCGCCAGCTCAGAGCAGGTTGAGCCAATCCACATCCTCAGGTTCAGGTGATGCATTGATCCACTGAGCACCCTGCCGAATGGAGGGCAGAACACTAAGTTCTGAGCTTGGGTGTCAGTTAGGGCATGGCTCATAATGTGGATTTTGTGTCTCACTCTACTAGTTTCCCCCAAATGGAATGATTCCAACAATACAAATATTAACATGGGTCAGGCCTTATAGCTCTGAGAGCACTGTTCTTGTTTCCACTCTTTATTTTACCCCAAGGGGAGGTTTCCAAGCTTGCATCATGAGCCCTGAGTCACGAAGACTGGTTGAGTCTATGTCATACCTGTTCACTTTCCCTCAGGGGAATAAATTTACTTATGTTTAGGATTGCTGTGTCTTAGCTTGAGAAATTCTGGGTACATTCAGACATAGAGGAGACGGTGGAGAGCCACAGATGATGTGTTGAGGAACCAATTTGTGGGCACAACAGTGTGCTCAAGGTAAAGTGGTGACATTCAGACCACTATGAAGCCCTGGATAGTCAAAACTTGGGTGAAACACAGAAATAGAACACAATCATATTTTTATATGATTTTTTAGCAACCTCTCACTTCCTTAAAAATCTTGACCTTATTCTGGCGGCCACAGCACTACGTAGGCAAATTTGTTTCCGGCACGTCTGCTTCTTTTAAGGCTGTGCTGCCATCTCCTGGAAAAATTTGGGAATAGCAAGAAACTTCTTTGGGATTAAGGAAGGAGCCTTCTCCAGGTAGCCATCACTTAGAGGGGGTCTTCCTGGAAGTGAAGTGATGTGGTCCTGCCAGTCTCAACTTGCCCAGGCCTGGTCAGGTCTATTTTCTGACGCTCCTACTGCTTTCCTGGTTTTTCAAGAAAGATTTCTAAAGTCAGTTCTGAGAAACAGTTTTTTCTTTTTTTTGCAGTCCAATAATTATGTTATTACTAATGATCACCATCTGATGTCAAATCTGAGGCAGAACTGATAAACTATTTTGGTACCTTCAGCCTTAGACTCATTCACATTTTCCAGAGGTCTCCACTTGCTTCTGGAGTCTGCTGTGTGGGATGAATACTGCCTGGTGAGGAAGAGGGACTTAGGATACAGCTTCTCACGAATGACACTGAGAATATGTTGGTCCCAAGGGCAGTGTTCCCAAATGAATAGTGATCCTACTGACAGAGGCTAGTCCTGAGCAGGAGGGCTGCATTTTCTCTCGTCTCTGCCCCCAACCCTGGATTTACTGTTAGAAAACAAGGTCAAATCTAGATACCAACCTTACCCCTCCACTGTTGTCACTCCTAATCTCTCTTCTCTACTTTATTTCTCCTTAGTATTTATTGCCATCTGACATATTGCTGTATGTATTTTACTTGTTTATTTTTTATTTTCTGTCTCTTTTCACTATGATTTTAAGCTCCACCAAGGCAGACACTTTTGTCTCTTGTTCACTATGGGATCCTCAGTGCTTGGAACAGGGCCTGGCAGCTAGCAGGTGTTCAAAAAATATCTGTGGAAAAAGTGAAGTCCTGGCTTTATCACCTTATATTGATGACAGTGTCCGTACTTTTCTTTCCCCAGAGTCTGATGGGTCTGATGTTTCTGCCTCAGCTTTCCATGAGGACTTTCTGCAGCGAGATGGAAGCCCTGCAGCTGGGTGTGTCTGCTGAGAAGGGAATGTATGCGCTGAGCAGCCACTCACCTGAGCCTGGCCTGTCTAATCTAATCCCAGGGGGGTAAACAATTCTAGGGAACCTTTGGAGAGAGTTCAAAAGGTAGGGAACTGGGGAGAAGGTAAAGCTGAGAGGGTTTGGTATAAACTTGGAAGGCACGGCAAAGCCCGAGTGAAGCACAGAATATAATAATAAATGTAATTTATGTATGTGTACAATAATTTACCAATTATTACTGGAGCTATAATTTATCAAATAATTTCTCTGCTCCAGTACTTTATTATAAATTGTGATACACACTGTCTGGCCTCGGTTTTCATACTGTCTCTATTTTATATGAGACCACGAGGGCCCAATGAGCTCGTGTCACCTGCTTGTGCGATGCTTGCGAATGCCCCGAATAGGAAGGATAGACTTCGTCCTGTCCTGATAACAGAATAGTCGTTAAATATATGCCTCTGTGCCAAAAGAGCCTTGGATTGACCTCGTTTTTGTCACTTACTAGTTGTGTGACCTTCAGCAAATTATTTAAAACAGCCCCAATTTCCTCCGTCGTAAAGCGGGGCCACAGTCGTCCTTAACTCCCAGGGCCGAGGCAAGAACGAAAGGGGATGGCCGCCCCGCGCCAGGCCCGGCACGCACAGGCAGGGGAGCTGGGCCCGCGACGGCGAAGCGGCCCGGGGAAGGGCCAGCCCTGGCGTCGTCGTGCCTTCCCCGGCCGGCCCTCCGCCCGTCCTCACTGCGATCGCGGCAGACGCTCGGCCTCAGAGCCATCACGCAGCTCCACTCCCATTACTGGGATTTCTTCTGTCCGGCCCCTGCCGGAACTGGTTAATGACGGGACCTCCTCGTCTCACCACAGCCTCCGCTTTGCTGTCGCCCGATGCCGAAGCGGTTGTGCCCGCTTGTTTTCTCCCGGGACGGTGACGGTTTCTACGGCGCGGCACCGTCGGGGCTGTAGCCCGAACGCCGCCATCGGCATCAAGAGGTCTGCCCCCCGGGGAGCGGGGAACTACAACTCCCAGACTGCCCCGCGCCGCCGCGCCTGCGTTGAGCGGCCCTGTTCGTAGAAGGAACCCGGGGCGGCGCTCCCGGGGCTAGTGGGTATCGGTCTGTGTCGTGAGCCAGAGGTGCTAGGGCGGGTACTGCGTGCTGTGGCTGTTCCGCAGGTCCAGGCTGAACCGTAGACACAGTCCCCTCCTCTTCCTTCCCCGGACGCGGCCTCGGGGAGCGCTCGAGGAATGAGAACTCCGGCTTTTGTCCTAGGCCGGCGCGGCGGCCGCTCCGACGCGCGGGGAGACGGGGCCTGAGCCCCGGCCGGCATGAGGAGCGACTCCCCGACCCCTGCGGCCCCGCCCAGGGCGCTCGGGGGGCCCC